AATCCTATCAGTTTTGTAGCATTTGGCTGAATGTGAGCAGAGAGTATAGCTCTATACACCTCAGAATTCATCTTGCTGCTTCTGTCAACAGTCACATCATCAATAAACACCAGTGAGCCCGTTCCATTGGCAGCCATAGATGCCCATGCCATAACACTGCCTCCACCATGTTTGACACATGATGTGGTATACTTTGGATCATGAGCTGTTCCTTTCTTTCACCATACTTTTCTCTTCCCATCATTCAGGTACAAATTAATCTTGGTTTCATCCGTCCAAAGAATCTTATTCCAGAACACGGGAGGCTTTTTTAGATGTTTTCTGGCAAAGTCTAATCTGGCTTTCCTGTTCTTGAATGTTACCAGTGGTTTGCACCTTGTTGTAAACCCTCTGTATTTACATTCATGAAGGCGACTCTTTACTGTAGATTTTGACAATCATACGCCTACCTTCTCCAGAGTATTCTTGACTTCTGTTGATGTTGTGAAGGGGTTTTTCTTCACCAAGGAAAGGATTCTGCGATCATCTACTTTAGCTGTCTTCCGTGGTCTTCCAGGCCTTTCGATGTTGTTGAGCTCACCAGTGCTTTCTTTCTTTTTAAGAATGTACACAACTGTTGATTTGACCACACCTAAGGTTTTTGCTATCTCTCTTATAGATTTATGTTGTTTTTTCAGCCTAATGATGGCCTCCTTCACTTGCATTGAGATCTCCTTGGACTTCATATTGGTAGCTCCAGTCGAACAGCTGCCAAATGCCAACTCAATACGTGATATCAACTCCAGACCTTTTATCTGCTTCATTTGTCTTGAAGTAATGAGGGAATGGACCGCACCTGGTCAATTAACTTCTTGTCAGTCAATTGTCCAAATACCTTTGAGCCCCTGAAAATGGAGGCACTTTGCTTAAAATGGCTGTAATTCCTAAATGGTAAATGCCATATTTTTATGGAACTTATTAAAATAATGCTGAAAGTCTTGATCTCACATCTTGATTGTTTTATTTCAAATCCATTGTGGTGGTGTATAAAGGCAAAATCACAAAAACTGTCATTGTCCAAATACTTCCGGACCTGACTGTATATTAGATATTTATATGTAAGTGTATGTATGTATCTAGGGGTTGATGATGGGGTCTTCCTCTGTTGACAGGAAGTTGTCAAAGGCAGGAGTTTCCCTGCTGAAGCCAGAGCCCAAACACAGAGGAGCAGCAGACAGTCTGCTGAATTCAGTACGAACATTGCCATGCCACATCGTCAGGTAAGGTGCACATGTACTGCACTGTAACATAATCAGATAACTCAGCAGGTCTGTGGTTAGAAATTTAACTATTTTAAATAGTTTTGTATTTGAATTAATTTAAATATTAACAAGCTCACTTCATAGAGGATAACCTAACAGCATTGTAGATCCTACAAAGTGCACTATATACATTACATTTATGGCAGGGTGACTTACAGTTATCTCAGCAACTGGGCCTTGCTCAAGGGCCCAACAGTGGCAGCTTGGGATTTGAACTCACAGCCTTCTGATTAGTAGTCCAATGTCTTAACCCCTGAGCTACCACTGCCCGCTGCATTATATGGCTACTTGAGACGTGACCGTGTAAAAAAAAGTTATTCCAACAAATACCTCTTGGAATTAAACTGCCTACGTGTAATATCACTTTTAGGGACATATTCGTTGTTAGTTTTTGACATTAGAAATAAAATTGATTCTTTTTGTTATTATGGATGTTATAGACATCCGATTTATTCAGCGCCTTTGACCAACAAGTGTTTCAACAGAGTTAGTTAGGTGACTGAAAATACAACATGGGATGTTAAACATTTCAATGTGGACTGGACTGTGAGTAAGTAACTATTAAGAAAATGTAAGTAGGATTTGAACAGTGATGTTTGGCTCACAGCCGAACACATGCACATTACATATTATCTTGTATCACATAGTATTGTGTGGTGATCTGGGAAAACAGGTCAGATGACACTGTGGCTAAATTCTGGCAAACAGTTTTTGAGCAAGATTGTTTTTTTACCCTGCCTGTAACATTGTTCAATCCCTCATGGGCCGTTTTATTTATTTTTTTTAATCTTTTGATCTACTTCTGGCAAATATCATGTTTTATTTGCAGTGGTGTGAATTCCTCAAACAGTGAATATCATGCTTTTAACAAGTTGTTGGATAGTTTATATTAAGATACTGACTCTGAAAATGGCTGGAATCTTTGAATGCATTTTTTTTCCCCTTTTCACTTTTGGGGTAACCAGGGAAAAAAAACTAGTGGTGTTGGTCATTAGTGCTTCTGGTTAAGAAAAACAAACATACTTCAAGAACAACTGTAGATTTCAGAACTATATATAGTATAAAATTTTGAAATTCCACCTTGTGAGCGTGTTTGTGTGTGTGTGTATATACACTGTATATGTGTGTGTACACACAGGTAAAACGTGCGGGTAAAATAAGTATTGAATACGTCACTATTTTTCTCAGTAAATATATTTCTAAAGGTGCTACTGACATGTTGGTAACAGCCCATGCAATCCACACATGCAAAGAAATCAAACCATAGATGTCCATAAATTAAGTTACACTTAATAATGTGAAATGACAGAAAAAGTTTTGAACACGTTTACTGAAATCTATTTAATACTTCGTACAAAAGCCTTTGTTGGTAATGACAGCTTCAAGACGCCTCCTGTATGGAGAAACTAGTTGCTTGCATTGCTCAGGTGAGACTTTGGCCCATTCTTCCACACAAACAATCTTCAAATCTTGAAGGTTCCATGGGCCTCTTCTATGAACTCTGATCTTTAGTTCTTTCCATAGATTTTCAGTTGGATTCAGGTGATTGGCTGGGCCATTCTAGCAGCTTTATTTTCTTTTTCTGAAACCAGTTGAGAGTTTTCTTGGCTGTGTGTTTGGGATCATTGTCTTGCTGAAATGTCCACCCTCGTTTCATCTTCATCATCCTGGTAGATGGCAGCAGATTTTTATCACGAATGTCTCGGTTCCTTTTTTCCATTCATCCTTCCTTCAGTTATATGAAGTTTGCCAGTACCGTATGCTGAAAAACAGCCCCACACCATGATGTTCCCACCTCCAGACTTCACTGTTGGTGTGGTGTTTTTGGGGTGATGTGCAGTGCCACTTGTCCTCCAAACATGGTGTGTATTATGGCATCCACACAGTTCAATTTTGGTCGCATCTGACCAGACTATATTCTCCCAGTATTTCACATTTTTGTCCAAATGTTGTGCAGCAAACTTTAAACGAGCTTCAACATGCTTTTTCTTCAGCAGTGGACTCTTGCGTGGTGAGCATGCATACAGGCCATGACGGTCGAGTGCGTTACTTATTGTTTTCTTTGAAACAATTGTACCTGCTAATTCCAGGTGTTTCTGAAGCTCTCCACAAGTGGTCCTTGGCTCTTGGACAACTCTTCTGATAATTCTTTTCACTCCACTGTCAGAAATCTTGCGAGGAGCACCTGGTCGTGGCCGGTTTATGGCGAAATGATGTTCTTTCCACTTCGGGATTATGGCCCCAACATAATGCTCACTGGAGCATTCAGAAGTTTTGAAATCCTTCTGTAACCAATGCCATCAGTTTGTTTTGCAACAATAAGGTTGCGAAGGTCTTGAGAGAGCTCTTTGCTTTTACCCATCATGAGATGTTTCTGGTGTGACACCTTGGTAATGAGACACCTTTTTATAGGCCATCAGTTGGGACTGAACCAGCTGATATTAATTTGCACTGACAAGGGGCAGGATTGCTTTCTAATTACTGATCGATTTCAGCTGGTGTCTTGGCTTTCCATGCCTTTTTGCACCTCCCTTTCTTCATGTGTTCAAAACTTTTTCTCTGTGTCATTTCACATTATTACACATAACTTAATTTATGGACATCTATGGTTGGATTGCATGGGTTGTTACCAACATCTGGTGAAAATTTCATGTCAATAGCACCTTTAGAAATATAATTACTGAGAAAAATAGTGACGTGTTCAATACTTATTTTACCCGCTGTGTGTGTGTGTGTGTGTGTGTGTGTGTATGTATGTATGTGTATATATATATATATATATATATATATATATATATAGATATATATATATATAGATATAGATATAGATAGATATAGATATATATATATATAGATATAGATATAGATATAGATCACAGACATCATGCCGCTCTCCTGTAATGTCACTGTAGTCTTCCATATCTTATGACCTTGGCTCTTTTAATTTGGCCTTACTTGTCCATGTAACACTGAAGCATACTGTCCAGGTTTGGTGTGAAATTAATAGTTTCATACAAAATTACTGACATTTGCTGAAACCGCTCACCATGGTACACTCAGTGTTTAAGTGTTTTATGTTGTGTTCATAAAAATGTATGTTGCGTTTGGGTTCCAGCTATGTTGTAGCTCACTCGTTTGGCCGGAGGATGCTGTATCCAGGCTCTGTGGGTCTGCTGCAGAAGGCCATGAGGTCAATGCTGCAGCAGGGCCAGGCCAAGCTAATCGAAGAGGTAACTTGAAAACACATGCATGTTTAAAAAAATAAAATAAAATTTACTGTCAGCATATAGGCACATTTATTTAACTTCTCTATTTGCTTTAGTATGATGGTCAGAGAAACAAGCTGGTGGCATGTGATGGAAACAAAATCGACACCATGTTTGTGGATCGGAGAGGAACCAGAGGCCCAAATGGGAAAACTCTGGTAAGAACATAACAAAACAAAACATGTGTTTCTTTCTTTTGCCTTTTTCTGGATGGCGTATTCAGAGTGTCAGAATCAGAGACAAGTCAGACATAAAGCTGTAACTTCTTCAGGATGGAGGGTTTCTCTGTAACATGACAAGTTGCATTTTTTTTTGTTGGACTAATTTCAGAGTGAAAAAAGAGAGGCTCATGAGGGAACAGCTGTTCGTAGAAGAACTGATAAAAGATGACAGGAACAAACTTGTTTTGTAGACATTCTGCAACGTTAAACATAACTGCAAACTGATAAAAACTGACATCCCAAACGCCTAGTCATTCTTGTTACTAATTTGTATGCTTCAAATATCCTTAAAATATGCTTCAAACAGGAAGGGAGCTATTACAAAAAGACAATTTCAGACATTTGACCTTATCGTGACCTTGTCCCTGTTTGGATCGATTCCAAAATCGGATCACTTCATCGGCTGGTTACAATGATAATTCCAGATAAATCCTACAAACATGTAACAACCCGTTCTTCAGATAACGTGTTAACAAGAATCTTGGACACACAACCCGAAAACATAAAAATCTTTAAAAATAGTTGGCAAATTGCTGTGGAGAAAGAGGAGTAAAACCCTCTGAGACATGTTGTTATTAGAAAATAATCAACTTGGGGGTGGGTGGTAACTAACTTTTCTTCGTGTCTGACTGAACGAGACCACCTTGTCATTCATCATTTTTCTATAACAGCACGTCCCATTGTTTTTTTTTCTTATTCCTTACCAGGGTAGCTAAGGAGGGTTCATTGTGTAGGTGTGTAAAGTGCATTGTGTGTTACAGGTGATTTGTTGTGAAGGGAATGCAGGCTTCTACGAGGTTGGCTGCATGAACACTCCACTGGATGGTGAGCAATTATGTGGTCAATTCTTAAAATTAAAAAAAAAAAAAGTCACACAAGAGAAACCTTTCTGAAAACAGTTGAATGATGTCCCTTCCTGCCTCTCTCCACCACTTTCCCAGGTGGCTACTCAGTCTTAGGCTGGAATCACCCAGGATTCGCAGGCAGTACAGTAAGTATCACTGATCACAGGGTCAGATTATCAAACCAGGCCCTTATGTGGAATCTCAAGTTTCCATGCTTTCCTGTTGCTTATCTTGCTGTTAGAGAACATTGCAATGTACACCAAAAAAAAAAAAAAAAAAACAGTTGTCCATGAGAATACAGCAGTGAAATTGCAACATATAACATCTCTATATTTGCATCTGTTTCAGGGTGTACCATTTCCTCAGAACGAGGCGAACGCAATGGATGTAGTGATCCAGTTTGCTGTGCACAAATTGGGCTTCCAGTTGAGCGACATTGTTGTGTATGCCTGGTCAATAGGGGGCTTTACAGGTAGGCAGATTAGGAAAAAAAATCTGTACACTTTCCTGCCACTTTAATAGGAACACCTGTACCCTGTCGCTTGGTCTTTTTCCCAATCTTCAGCTGTTCAGGTGAGTCTGTGCCAACTGTAGCCTCAGATTCTTGTTCTTGGCTGACAGGCGTGGAACACGATGTGGGCTTCTGCTGTTGTAGCCCATCCACCTCAAGGTTCAGCATGCTGTGCGTTCTGAGGTGCTTTTCTGCTCACCACAGTTGTAAAGAGTGGTTATTTGACTTGCCCTAGCCTTCCTGTCAGCTCTAATCAGTCTGGGAATTCTCCTCTGACCTCTCTCATCAAGGTGTTTGTGCCTACAGAACTGCCACTCACTGGATGTTTTTCGTTTTTCCCACCGAGCTGACTGTTGTGACTGGAGACTGTTGCGTGTGAAAATCCCAGAGGATCAGCAGGTTCTGAAATACTCAAACCAGCCCATC